AAAAATGCAGAAAGTGTCTTCTGAACAAAGTAGAACAAATTTTATAAATTTATCGGTTAGAAAACAACAATTGCCCATTCCATAGAAAATCTTATTCCTTTGTTCTTCACATGTTTCACAAAATTTTTTTTTTAAATTAATATTTTAAATTTAAAAAGATAGTTTAGGCATAAATGTGAATTTACAAATAAAGGTATAGATGGACAAAGTCCAAAAAAAACATCCTTTATATCCAATTTTCCCAAAAAAAAAACACTATTTTTTACATTTTGTAAAAATACTTTACGACACACACTCATAAGTGTCATGTATTTAAAAAAATTGTCTTTTTCAGGTATAAAAATGGAAATGAAACAATTGAGCGCGGTAAATCCGCTTTAGAAATTACCAGAGAGGTCCACGAGGTGGAGGGATGTCGAGCGCGGTAAATCCGCTTATGCACTGTGCCACTGGTCCTTGGCCAATCTTCAATACGTACTGTTAATTCCCACAAACAATATCAGTCAGAAATAAGAAATATATGTACGGAACTCATCAAATTGTGATCTGATTTTAATTAGCTCTCAAACATATATTTTCACAAACAATTACCTCTTCTGGAGCAAGATCAAAGATTTTGCCTCCGATGGTGAATGAAACGGTTGGCATCGTTGAGAGTCGTGCGCAGTCAACTGCAGACTCTCCGTTGGGACTGGGCATGCGCTCACATACCTACGGATTTAGAATTTGGGGGAGCCAAACAAAAACAAACTTATTGGTTATCGGAAGAAGACGGTAAATTGTTATTGTAATGGAGACTACTTGTTACCTCATTAATGTAGTTCATTATCCGCCCTTGGGTCATGTTCTGATTCAATTGGCTCTGTATCCACACAACCGTCATTTCACATGCAGCACAACCCGCATCTCGAAGACCACTAGATGATTTGATGTTTTCTTTGTCCACCACCGACTCAATCCCCATACTAATTAAACATGAAACAATACCCGCTCATTAAGTTTTACAGGGAAAATGTGCCTACACAATTGTTATCTCTGTGTAGAAATATATTGAAAATTTACTTGACCCCACGGGTGCCATCGAATGTGCAAGCACCAATTTGTGAGCAGATCTTCTTCGGTTGAGTCTGAGAAGAGCAAAAGAGTTGCATGTACAGAAATACATATATGATTCATCGCGGATTTTCTACGCTAATTCTCTACCAAATCAACGATATTCTTACCTCCGCCAAAAGTAAATCCAAAATGGTCAGTCCATATTGGTCAACAATAGTCTTACACTGCTGGCTAGCAACTCCAGATGCTCCAATAGCTTTGTTTATCATGGCGATAACGGTCTAACAAAACGAAAAAATGGGAGTTTTAAGAGCAAGAATATACTCCAACAAAACTGAAATGCTTTAAAAAAAAAAAAAATTAAACCATTTTGATGATTCTTGCTTACCGTTGGCCCTGCAAGTAAAGATGTTCCAGAATCTGCTATTGCAGAACAACCACTTCCACAGTATCCTGTACAAAGGTTAATCAAGTTTTAGCTTTCGATAATAAAATATATAAGAGAGAATCATGCTTCACCTTTGTTCTCCTGTAAAAAACTAAATGGATGAACGAAAACGATATAACAGCTGATACACGTACCAGTAGATTCACCGTCAATGAGAACCTCACCCATGTCGAACTATTATACCAAAATAATATCTTGAATGAGACATGATTAATAAAACATTCATGGCAAACTAAGACCAATAAATTAAAGAACCTACCTGCCAGTAACCCCTTTGTGTAACAGGAACATAAGTATGTTCTCCTATGAAATGCTTTGGATCAACACCTCCGAATACAATTTCACCGCCTTCTTCACTCTCTGGGTCACGGATAAGCCAAAAGGAAAAAACCGGCACCTTGATAAGGCCTTGCTCGAGCATATTGTACCTGTAAGAAACAACATTTGTTGTCAGCACATCAAACGTTACAGGAGTGTGTCGTAAGTAACCTGAATCGATAACGAGACGAAAGTGCACGCATACCAAACAGGAGTGGCGTTTCCAACCGAAATCTCTTGGAATCCAAGACCAAGGAGACCATCAAATTTAGCCAACAAAAAAGTTAAACCAGGCTCTTTGGTTGCCTCAATAAACTCCTGAAGAGATAATAGACAATGACATTATAGTAAGGTCAATCAATCTGTAAACAAAATATAAGCATTACAAGAGGATTTGATTAGATAACAATTTACCTGATCTTTGACAACCAAATCACCGACCGTAACAGCATCATAACTAAAGAAACCAGAGATTGATCCAGAGCCATAATGGATTGCGGCACTTTTTCCTGTATCAAAGATGAGCATAGTTGCAATTTCAGAGCTTATATCAACATCGATACACCATCACATCGAGATAGCGTACCACTCTTCTTATATGTTTTTGAACGTGAGGACTTGTACTTGGCATGAAAGAAACAAGACAGCTACATAAAGAAAAGAACTCAATAAGTTATCTATTAAACTATCTCATTCACATTTTTGAAAAACTGCAAACCAAATGCTAAAAAGCTTACCGAGAAAAAACACTTCCCTGATGGTACCCAAAGGTTAGAGCTTCCCGTGTCGAAGATCACTGTAAACTTCTGCGGTGGAGTACCGATACCAATCTCACCATAGTACTGAGCATCCAAGTAATTCTTCAGGGAGACAATGTCAGCATCTGCGGAATCTCCAAGATTGTTTTGCGAACGGAACTCTTTTAAAGTAGATCTCAAGGCCTCTTCTTGCTTGGAACCAAAACGTGCTGCAAGTCGATTGTTAGGATCCAACTTCAGTTTTTTCAGACCAACTCTGAATGTTCCATCATTGCTCTCAGAACACGCAGAAAGAAACAGCAGGAACGACACGAAGAGCGAAACCGCAACCGTTCTTGAGTGTACTCCCATTTTCACCTATTAAAATAGTTGACATCAAACACTAAAAATCAAGCTGAAACAAATAAGAGTAACAAGAACATGCAAGTCAAGCTGAAACATTTTCAAGATTTTCTTTCTCACTAAAACCAAATAACATGATGCTTCAAAAAGTAGACATTTGACGGATTATCAAAGCAAATAACCTTATGCATCAAAAAACAGAATCATTCATGCCAAAACAAGAACAAAAAACATATCAACAAGGAGAAACAGTGGAAAAAATGATCTGAAAATGGAAAGGATCACAATTTTGATGAAAACTCTATAAAAATTCTTTTAATCAATGATGAAACAAAGCATAAAAAAAACTAAAAATCTTTATTAAAAAAAAAAAGCATAAAAACATGTTTACTTTCCTCAATCTAACCTCAGAAATAACACTAATTAGGATTACAAAATCAAACCAACCTAAAAGCTAAAAAAAACATAATTTTTTCCATCATGCAACAAAATTTGAAAAAAAAAAAACATGATCGTGGTCCATTAACTTCGAATCAAACAGTACGGTTTCAGAATCAAAACCAACTCTAAAGCTACCCCCCAAAAAAAAAAAATCATCACAATTTAAAAAACAAGGCTACTAGAAGACAAAAAACATGCATGCAAAAAAAAACACATATCTAAAGACCAGATCATGCAAAATACAAGCATTCGAATAGAAACAACACCTGCAAACGAAGGTAATAGTATACTTTTTTTTTTTTTTTGCTAAAGCTAATAGTATACTTCTTTCAAAAAAAAAAAAAACTAATAGTATACCAAACAGTGGAGACAAGAGTGATGAGATTAAACACCAAGACTCGGAAAATTTTAGGACACGATAGATAGATATAATTAATGGTAATGAGAACGATAAGTTTTTTGGTTAGAACTCACCAGATCATTCCTTAATTAGAAGACGATAGGAAGAAGTAAAGGTTAGAGAAAAAAAGCAGAGGAAACAGTTTAATATTGCTGTGAGGAAACGATATGCTGCCACGACATTCATAGTGGGACCCATCTAGTGAAAACCATTTAACCGTTGGATTTAGCAGATTAAAGCTTTTTAACCGTTGATGTTGTGGTAATAAGTCAGATATGTGTGTGAGTGTGACCCACTAACTTTTGTTGGTACACTCGTATGTTCTCGAGCTTAACGTAATTCACGTGATCTTTTAACCGTTGATGTTAGAAGTTGGGCTTGGTTCTAGTTTTTAGGATTTAAGTTGGGCTCAGTGTGGGTTTATCAATTGGGTTGTTGAGACTAGGGTTAAGAGTTACTGATTTAGGAAGAAGGAAATGAGAGTTAGATCTTTTTTTTTAAAACGTCTCGAGTATTAAGCAACGTAACCAATATCCAAAACAGGGGAGACATAAAACAGAGGAAACAAATTATGAAAGCAAAACACACATCGATGCCCAATGGGAGGGATATTAGATATTAGATGATATCATGTAGCCACGCCGGGCCTCCTATTGCGAGGTAAGAGTTGAATCTCCCGTCTCGCGTCACATTCTTGGCAATCTCTCTTGCAGCTAAGTTAGCCTTCTGCGACTCCAACTCAAAAGAACACTCTTCAAAACTCTCTTTCAACCTTTGGATTTGTTTCCGTGAATATTCGATACCGTGGCCACTCCTTTGGTTTCCTTAAAGCTTCGTTAGTGGCTTGACAATCTGATGCGATCACTACCTTCTTGAAACGCACATTACGGAGGCTTTGCAATGCCCAAATGATACTCCAAAATTTTGCAGTAATTCGATTACGGGATCGAGTAAAGGCCTCCATTGAATGAAGGAGCACAGACCCCGTATGATCTCGAGCAATCCAGGAACCTCCACAATGCAGTGACGAGTTCCTCCAATGACTGTTTACATTGCACTTCACAACTCCTTCCCTTGGCCTCTGCCATTGACATTCTCTAATGCGACCCGGTAGGTTGTTCTGCAATTAATTATCAAGTCCGCAATGGAGCTCTCTCCAGCACCTCGCCTCATCAAAAGTATCTTGTACCAATGTGTTTAGCGATACATGTGTAGCTGCATAAAGCACCGAATTCCTGTTCTTCCAAATATTCCAAGGAATTGATCCTCGAAGCCATTCCAGAACTGATGATGACTCCATTAAATTGAAAACTAGCTCCATATTTTCCTCAAGTGAGGCTCCAAAACTGATGAGGTTTAATAAAGACGAAACCTGCAGGTTCAAATCAATTGTTCTCTGCTTATTATTTGGTCTACGGGGATGCTTGTCAAAAATCCACTTGTCCAGCCATACTTTGGTGGTTGAGCCAGAACCAATTAATTTGATCAATCCTCTCTTTAGTAGTTCTTATAACGTCCGCGAACCAAAAATGTGTATTTTTGGTGGTGCGTCGA